AACGCCCCCGCTGCCCGGTCCATAACCAGGCCTCGCGGTGCATCAGAGCCTGATCAACTAGGTTCTTACTGCAGGCCGTAAGCAAACCAACGTACCAACCACAGCCCGGCTGATCGGGTGCTGACTAGGTGCCTGTCCAGTTCCCTCTTGAAGGCAGCTGAGGGTCTACTGGTAATCCCACCTTATGTATGCTGGGAGGTAGTTGAAAGTTTTCAGCCCCTGACACTTAATGTGTTGTCTCTTAGTGTACTCATGGCAGGGATGTTGCACTGTATAGTCGCTAAAAAAAACAGCCGACACTGAAACTACATTATTATTTTAATTATTTCTTCTTATTATTATTAATTTTATATTTTATTAATCTTATTATTACTAGGGAAAAGCGCCAAGCTCAGAGGGTTTTTTTACAGAACCTGGGGAACGGGAAGCACTCAGATTCGATACATGGGATTGGAGAACTACTCTTTCTGGGTCGATGTATAGTTGACCTATAGGCAATAGCGTTCGCAGAAATAGGAAGAAATCACGTAGGCTAACGGGGATATGACTCAAACTGTACAAATAGAAAGCAGGAACAAATATAGACTTTAAAATAATGTGCTGAAAGTACCTAACCAAGACAGGACTCTCAGAAATGGATTCAAGTTGGAAAAATTTAGATTTAGAAAGGATATAAAGAAGCACTGGTTTGGAAACTGAGTTGTAGATGAGTGGAACAAGCTCCCAAGTAGCATCAGTGACAGGAGACTTTTGGGTGGATTTAAATATTAGTTGGATGGGTACTGGATCTCCGAGCATGGGTCACTAGGCCAACTACAGTATTCCTCATTCTTTGATTTAGTTCAATTCTTTAGATCAAAAGGGGTCACCAGCATCAAGTAGCCTCCCTTGATGGACGGATCTAGTACAAAGTCATAAACAAAAAGTCGTTGGGAGAAGTTACTAATCGTCACTGAAAGTCTGTACAGCTAATAACAATGATCACTGGGACTATTGTCTGTCCATTCGTCAGTATGTATCGCTATGCCCGTGTAATTATTTGTTGAGTCTATTGTTTGCTTGTATTTGCGAGGGTAGAGTTCTAGCTCCTAGGTCCGCTTGTTTTTTCTGCCATACATTTTAAACAAGCTCGGGAATACCAAAAACTCCGAGGAACTGTGTTCCACCTTGCGAGTCATCCCCCATTCCCCACTTACATTATTTTGTTGTTACTATATGTAAAGACAAGTTAATATCGCCTAGAATAACAAATATTTAAATTCAGTTTACATCGTGCGTAAATCAACAAATTGTAGTTCGTGAAAAAACGCACGAAATTTTTGAAGGACCCCAATGGAAATAAGTCACTGACTTTTTTGGGTTATCCTAGGTTCTCTACACATATGCTGCTATGCATGATAGTCTATGTAACTGTGTTTGTGTATACCTGAATAAACTTAGTCGACCGGTGAAGTCTCCCAAGCCCAAGGACTTCGTCAAATTTATATCTGATTATGTAAACGGAGTTAGCCTTTATTACTGCCTCTCCTACCACATTCACTGCTATATCCCTCAAGTTTTATATATTTTTTATTTATTTGCCTCGTTTTGGACATTAATGTCCATCTGATTTCCTCGTCCTGGTCCCACCACTTGCAAACAATCTGTGTTCACCTTGTGCTTAATTATGAAACAAAAACAGCAATCCTGCTATCTTATTTTTTCTCATCTTTATCACCTTGCATCCTTAACCTAGTTGTTCTTGATAAGATATTTAAATCTAATTGTGGCAACAAGCGTTGCAAAAACAGTGGCGAAACGTTTCCTCAATAAAGATACCCAAGAGTTGCACACGTGTCTAATTTATCAACGTGTCGGTTCTCTGAACCATTCATCTACAAGAACAATACAGTGGAACCTCGGCACTTGAACTAGTTGGATCCAGAAGGCTGTTCGAGTACTGAACGAATATTTCCCAACCTATAACCAGGTCACTAGCACGCTATTTAATGAGTTCAAGTCTGGGATACCTGATAATTTACTGATAATAAGTCTTACGGCTGATATTCTCACGGGAATTTTCTATAAACGAAGAGTGAACATAACGGCGGTTTATACCGTGAGAATTATACTGTAAAAAACTTGTATGAAAATGGGACAATACTAATAAAAGTCATATATGGGTGGGGGCATTGCAGTTCGGTGGATCATCTGGTAGTGTTGAATATTCTGGAAAGAGTTTAGGAGTGACGGTGTATTTTCTTCTTTAGGTCACCCTGCCTTAGTGAAAAACAGCCGATGTTACAAATTTATTACCACATGAAACGATACAAATAACCTTAATCGATTTAGTGAAGCTCGGTGATTAACATGTTTCTATTACACTTGAGATACCGTCTACAGACACAGTGACTTTCAGACAAAAAATAGTAGGCTACTAGCGTGCTCTAAAAATTTCCTTATTAATGACCTCTAACCCTGAATTTGCTATTAAATTTAAACATATGACCCAGTTTGTGTGGCCCACTACAAACATGTCTCTAAAATGTATTTTGTTTGAATTAAACCAATATGCTTTTAAATAGTTGCATATGTTTTAACCGAAAAGTCGATGTAGGAAGCCCCGACCCAATTCTCACAAATGGCCGGAAAGTTCCCATCGAAAACGGGAACCGTGCGCTCACGAGGAGGTTCAAAATTGTGTGATAAGACTCTCCTGCACCTTAATTGCTGTCAGGGTTCCTAAAAGCCAGTTACCAGCCACATAGAACGGTGTTTAACTTTTCAAGTGACGCAAACATTTGCAAGCATTTGTTCATACAATTTTTGTAACTTACGCTACCACAATGACTCGAGACACCCTTACCAACAGAATTTACATCAACCTCCCTCCATTGCAAGTACAGGTAGTCGTAATTACATATTTGAATTTTAAGGGCGGGAATAAGGGTAATGGTGAACTAAAGCTCTTACATTCCGCCTCTTAACTTTTGATCGACTGACTTGATTGAGCCCTGCCGTAACTATTTTTGAACCCTGTGTGAAATCCGATCAGCTTATCCTACATTCTACTTCTTATCCCTGTGCCTCATGTAGACACTGGATTTAATGTTTGACTATGCCTTCTTGCTCATGCTGCACCCCTGGCAGTCTGTTGTAGTCGAGGAGACTCAGAAGTCGAGGTAGGACATGGCTAGTTTATTACCAGACGACTACACAACCACAACATAAAAACAGATGTCCAGCCCAACCTCCTAAAGTGTTACTGATATGATCCTAAACACAAAGGACCAAAAATACTCTTCTATCCTATGTTACAGAATTACATTAACTTCTCAATACACTATCTATGCCCTGTAGTTCACATCCCTCAATTCGGTCACCAGTCTTGATACAACCCTTAGCATTTAAGTTTCACTTTTGTTTATTTGGTGAAGGTTCAACACCAGCGCTGCTTCCTCAAAATCTGGGAAAATGTCTGAAGCTAGGTTCCGAATGTCCTCTTATGATTGTAAACTTACCCTGTGCTGCATATGTTAACCAGTTTACCTGCGCTTCGTGGAATAGTCTTGAGGTAATGGTTACTGCAAGGTCTGTTTCTCTTAACTATTTAATGTGAACATTTCCCAACCCCCTCAAGACGGTACTCTGTTTTTTAGCCTCCTTTCCCTGTTTTCCAGCTCCATAACTTTGTTTCAGCCTCACAAAAGCATTCACAACACTTTCAACAATGGTATTACAGCCACCTGACACCCAATTATATGGAGGGCTGTGACCCAGCATAAAAAATTATTAATCAACAGTCGGTAACAGGTTGCTGAAAAACAAACATAATGATAATGATAATCATTATTTCTATAAAATTTCATTATATGATTAATAATAGTAGAGACTAGCGAAGAGGCGGGGCAAGGAGCTGTAAATCGACCCCTGCAACCACAAATGGGTGAGTACACGCATAGCTAACATTTCTCGCATACCTTATAGAAAGCCCTCAGTTATGCAGAGCATTTCGGGTAACTCTAAGATTAACTTATAACCTCAAACATTTATAAAAATTAATTTGGTTTACTATCTCTGATAGTAACTCCAACAGTTTGGATTTTATTTTTTGTAAGGTAATATGTTTTAATGTTTGTAGTAGTTATGACTTATGGACTTAATTTGCTAACAGTGATAACAACAATATAAATTCTAATATGAATTAGACAGACAGGGATTATGTTGATAAAGTGGGTTTTAACACAATTAGTTTATGCAGAATTAAGGTTAACTAAAAGAGGTACTTTAAAAAATGAAGCAAGTGGCGGACTGGGAACATTTTGCATTTTCTGGAAGGGAATTCCCAATTCCAAGCGCTTTTTCAGTGTTAAAAAGGCACTTGTTTCTTATGCTATGGCCATGTGTTCTCTTACAGTTTTCCAGGAAGAGTCGGAGTGCTGGGTTAAGTTCGTATATATATATATATATATATATATATATATATATATATATATATATATATATATATATATATATATATATATATATAATTCATAGTTGGTGTGAATGTTTTGTAGGGTAAGTTAAGATTTGAATATAAAACCTGAAAGGGTGATTGTAATAGCTGATTTCTGGTGGGTGACAGTAAGTTGTAAGATGTTTACTGTTGTGATCTGCAAGTATCTGTAACTTGAATTTTTTTTTTTTTCATACTGTACAGTGTCTTTGAGATATTAAAATGGTAGAAGCAAATCATCACACTCATTTATATTAAAAAACAATCCAAATACTAGTTCATTAAACTATCTCTAAGAGAGTCAAATATCTATCTCACATCACAGTCATTATGAGATAAATGTAAGAGTCATTAGTAATTGAAATTATCTTTAAAGTTTAAAATCAATGTTTCTTAGACAAATATTTTTGTAAACGTTGAAAAAATCGATTAGAAAATAGTTCAGTGTATAATTTGGAACAAGAATTGGAACAAATTCTCGTCTTCTTACAATCCAACTATTGATGTTTCTAAGGAAACTTACCTGAATATTTACTATATAGGACGGTGTCACTGGTGATGTTGGCACTTAAGTGGGTGTGGGCATAGTCACGGGCGTGGGCATAGTCACGGGCGTGGGCATAGTCACGGGCGTGGGCATAGTCACGGGCGTGGGCATAGTCACGGGCGTGGGCATAATCATGGGCGTGAATTACGATCAAGCACATTATGACCTCACAGGTCATACTAAGAGGACCCATGGCGACGTCTTAATTAACTAGTGGGTCATCCCAGCCAGCAGTCTCTCGTGGTATTCCTTCTGGTCTACTTGTTTATCTTTTTCTTTTAACTTGAACCAATAACAAAGTTTATAAAACAGCCGCCTCTTCCCTTCCTCTTGCAGACTTGCCTCGTAATTTCAACGAACATACAGAATGTGATCCAATTCATTGGTCTTCTCTGACGTTAAAACTTATCTCAATAACTCGAAAAACCTATAATCGTTAAAAATGCAGCAAACGATATAAAAAAGTGCGAGCAAACACAAGCAAACACGTCTTCTCTCAATGGAAGTTGAGACGCGACTGACTAACTGGTCAGCTGATGGACGTCACTATGATGCTGCAGCAGCTTATCTTGACACAAAATTGACATTTACGATACAAATTTAAGATAAAAAATTACATTTACAATAAGAAAAATTACTATTATAATTATGCTAATCATTACTGCTATAATCATACGCTGTATGGCCCCGCAGAGCAGCATACAATGCATGTGGAATGGAAGTAACTAAAATCCTAGTACTCCATCTAAATATCTTATTTCCTTGGAATCTCATAATCTCTTTTTTCATGACCTCAGAATTCTCCTCCTAAACCTCAGAATTATTTTCTTGAAACTTCAAGATCCTGTTCATAAGACCTCAGCATTCTCTTCTTAAACCTTTCACTCATTCTCTTCGTCCTAAAAATCTTGTTAATTGCTTCCGTGCTATATAGTCTGCGGTCAGCTGCCGGGTTCTAGGTAACTGGTCCGGCAGCCTCATCATTTACAGGTTGGATAATTCGGTAAATAATGGAATCGTTCGTATAGGTATCCGAGCCTGTGGTCGGATAGTGTCATCAGCGCTAGAAACTGCTGCAGGTGCATGAACTATGCGCCCGAAAATTGTATGTACAGCTCTTGTTGGATGGGTTATGTATCTCATACCCGTCCTGTGAGCAGTAGTAGCCACATACCTGTCCTGTGAGTGGAAGTCACCCTTACCCAAATAGTGGGAGGTAGTCGCCCAGTACCCATCCATTGGTAGGTAGTCACCCAATACCCATCCAGTGGGAGGTAGTCACTCCATACTCATCCTCCAGTGGGAGGTAGACACCCCGTACCCATCCTGTAGGAAGTAGTCACTCCAACATGTGTGTTAGCTCAACAAGTCATATGCAGCGCTGTATAGTCCTTGTGGCTTAGCGCTTCTTTTTGATTATAATAATAATAATCAACAAGTCATAGTGGTGTTGACCTATTTACAAATTGATGAATTGATAATAATAGTATCTTGTATCTTAGGCAAAATTCATGGGAGTATTTGCATGCGTGGGTGCGCTATATGTACATAGTGGATATATAGGCCATTCCCGTACTTGCCTATATGTAGTTGCAGGGTCGATTCGCAGCTCCTGGCCCCGCCTCTTCGCCTGTTGCTACTAGGTCCACTCTCTCCCTGCTTCAAGATCTTTATAGTACTCTTTCTTAAATTACTATGAATGGATCCTTCTTACACTCCGTGTTTTTGTTTGTGTGATTCTTGGAGAAAGGCTCCTGTGATCGCCCTTTTTGCCGCTTTAAACCTCGAAATAGTGTTATATTATTTTACCTCATTGCATTCTTTTTCCCTTGATGCTGGTGAAATACTCGTCATCCAATGAACTGGACTTGTCTTCCCCTTGATTGGATTGAATTTGAATGCCTTCCATTCCATAGGCGCTATGATTTCTACGGGTTTAGATCTTTCTTCTCATTAAAATACGTGTACATTTAACAATTCTGAACGGCGAAATCTTTAATGACTGATGCATCGTGCATCGTATGAAATGGATGGGACGTTTCATGGATTAAGGCTGTGTAGGCACAATTTTGAGCGGATTTTGGGCGATAACTGGAAACTGCATCTTCTGGTCAGCTCTAATTTTCTGGTGCTGATGTGCTTTCCTCAAGAAAAACAATCTCGTAATGTTAGGTTGTGCAAGTTATCATATACCAATTTATTTATCAAGTATAGTTATACCAACACTCTTATATGGGTGTGAAGGATGGGTGGTGAATGTTGCAACAAGGAGAAGGCTGGAGGCCGTGGAGGTGTCATGTCTGAGGGCAATGTGTGGTGTGAATATAATGCAGAGAATTCGTAGTTTGGAAATTAGGAGGTGCGGGATTACCAAAACTAATATCCAGAGGGCTGAGGAGGGGTTGTTGAGGTGGTTCGGACATGTAGAGAGAATAGAACAAAATAGAATGATTTCGAAAATGTATAAATCTATACCGGAGGGAAGGCGGGGTAGGGGTCGGCCTAGGAAAGGTTGGAGGGAGGGGGTAAAGGAGGTTTTGTAAGTTTTATAACTGTAGTATAAACATGTCTCTGGCAAGACAGTGATGGAGTGAATGATGAAAGTTTTTTTTTTTTTGGGGCCACCCTGCCTTGGTGGGAAACGGCCGATGAGTTAATAAAAAAATAATAAAATAAGAATTGCTTCCTGTGAAATAACTGAAGAATGTCTCTTCTGGTCAGAAATAAGTTACTATATTTGACTTTATTTGGCTATGTCAAATTAAATCAGCTTAATCTTCTGTTTAAGAATGGTCTTGAAGTGACACAGATGTCTATAACACCTGTGTGCCCTCAAAACCTTCTTAAACATGTGTATGTTATGTACACTAACCAGCTTACATAAACGTAACTTTCTTCCTTAAGTATGTTTGAGGATAGAGGTCTTTATGAAAGATGTGAATTATATTTGGACCGTATATGCCCTGAAAAAATTGTTGAAGAAATTTTGAGACTAGTTTCCATACGAATGCCTCTTATGATTTACTTTAAATCCTCAAAGCTAATATTTAGCTGCATTATCAACTAATGTTGCACTCTGCATTATTCCAGTCGTGTGCATCGAAGTATACTGGGTATACTGGAATCAAGGAATACTGTGATACCTTCCCCTAAATACATCTAGTTGATATTATTATTATTATTATTAGGTATCCCAGAAGGGAGACCTTAAGACGTTGCCTTAATTTTTCTTTTGTTTTTTTCTTCTTCCAACTTTTCGTTTTTATTTTGCTCATACCTCGAGAGGATCTCGCCCAATCACCATCAAAATTTAAATATTTGTATACGGATTCTTGTATAAATAGTATGTTTACTTAAACTGGTTGTCTATGTTCACCCATCAGTAAAATGGGTACCTGGGTGTTAGTCGACTGGTGTGGGTCGCATCCTGGGACAAAACTGACCTAATTTGCCGAAATGCTCTGCATAACAAGCGACTTTCTATATAGTAGTATGTCATTGATGCCAACTATGGTCTGTACATCTTGTACGTGTACCTGTAGAAATAAAAATATTATATTATTATTATTACTAGATTAGATTTTGCCACCGAAGTGGCTAGTTTATTGTGCAACGCATATCCATCCTGTAGTTAGTTTAATATGTTTATTATGCACCCCATACCCATCTTGTGGGCGGTAGTCAAAAGATTACAGAGGTACATAATGGGTCCAGGGACTGAACCCCAAAGTTATGATAGCTGAACTAGTTACAAAGGTAATGAACTCCAGGTAGATCTGGTCACAATCATGGTAAATTATCAGCCTCACTCCTATACATGGTTACAGTCATGAACAAATTACAAAGTAATGAGCCACTGATACGTCCACACCTGGTCACAATTGTAATGAGTTATAAATACAAATATTAAGTGGGTCATACACTCACACAAGCGCGCACGCGCACACATACACACACGAGGGCGCACGCACACACTGTGGACGGTAGCACAAGAGCATGTGGATACACAAAAGACCTAGGAACTAGGCCCCAAAAGGGTTAACAGGTGTACATATGGATTTATATCTACAGTTCACTTATTTGTTACAAGCAAATTTTGGTATCTTATTTTCATTAATAAGACGCCTTGACATGTTACATAGGTTATTATATTGTCTGTCTCTGTATTCCTCAATAAGTGGACAATTAAGCACATAGTGTTCAAGACAGTGACCATATGCCTGATCATATAATTTACATTTAGTTTGATCATCATCTGTGTGTCTCCCAAACTGCCAGAAGTACTTGTAACCAAGCCTAAGCCTTGCCACTACAACATCAGTCAGTCTGTTCACATTGCAAGTTGCTCCATAAACATACTTATCTACGTTCATGTTATCATAGTGGGTTATAGATCTACTCAGGCTTCTAACTGCCTTCCTATAACAATCATTTTCATTATTTACTTTTCTCCTAATATTATTTCTAATGCTAGATACAGATTATTATTACTTATTCCTTATCCCCAGGAAGTAGGGCTCAATTTAGTTTGCGCCGTGGTGGCCCTTAACAACCCCAACACCAGACACTTATGCAACATATGGGAATCTTTATTTAGGAAACGTTTCGCCACACAGTGGCTTCATCCAGTCTGAGGGACTGATTACCTCAAACTCCTCCTCTCCTTCCACCTGTCTGCTTTGTATTGGACTGATGAAGCCACTGTGTGGCGAAACGTTTCCTAAATAAAGATTCCCAGTTGCATAAGTGTCTCAATCTTCAACTTTTCAAAACCATCACAACCCCAACACCAACAAAGTTCAGATATATACAAATTATTTAAAATGGGATTCCAATTAAGCTTTTGTAGATTTCCTTTCACATAGACCTCCGGCAGCATGACAAAATTAGTGAATTAGCTAAACAGGCATTAAATAAAAAAAATGCTGAATATAATTATGGTTTTTCAAACAGAAGTCTATGAAGGTAAAGGACCCCAATGAAAATAAGTCATTTTGACTTTTTTGGGTTATCCTAGGTACTGTACACATGTGCTGTTATGTATGATAATCTATGTAACTCTATTGTGTATACCTGAATAAGCTTACTTAGAAGTATTGGCAGAAAGGAACTAGCAAACGAACTTAAAGAAAGTAAAATAGTACAGATAGGAACTAGCATATCCATTATCTATCATAATGAAATATGTCAAGTTAAACATACACGGGAAGAAAGTAACAAGATCGCTAGATTGCAAGATGAAGCTATTGTTAGACTAAGGCTAGACTATAAGCATCTCTGGCAATATGGTTTGAAGTAATATGTCAGTGACATAAAATGCAGTGTGTGGACACACAAGTCCAAACACTGGAACGTTGTTATGTCTTAGTGTCCAAAAATAAATAACAAAAAGGCACAATACCGTGACTGGAACGATACACAAATAACCCGCACATAAAAGAGAGAAGCTTACGACGACGTTTCGGTCCGACTTGGACCACTGACAA